AAAAATAGAAAATGTATCAGTATTTACCATAATAAACATTGATAATAAAATCTTCAAGATTATGTGAAATTGGGCATTGATCATGTTTGGCATACTAATAAAGTACTTTACCGGTTTTTATATTGCATTAACATGATTCAGTAGACAGAAAACATATATGGAAAGTATTTAAAGAAGTTTAAAATATAGACTACCACTGTCACTATATATAGGCAAGTTGACAATGTTGATTATATTTCAAATTTTATGAAAATTTTGCATGTTTTTTTTTAAATAAAAGTATCACTACGCTAACTTCATATATACCAATATGACATATGTAGTATCAAAATAACAGTAATTTTATACACTGTACACTATCATAATTCATTTCCATATAGCATTCACCTGTGACATTTATCTATCATTTTGTTAGGATACCCACATCACTCAACCTGGTGTTATGCAAGGAGGTCCACTACGGTTATCAGTAGTAATTATGAATAGAATAAAAGAAATCAAATCGGGGGTCAAATGTTGACCCCACCTTTGCTGATTAGTATTGGTCTTCATCCATTCGGTATTAACCCTGTCACCGCAATGAAACTGATTCAAACGATAGTAGCTCCAAAGCATGGATCTTTGGGTCCGACCTCACGAAACTAACGTCGTAAATCTGGAACGCACTCTACGGTATGCTGTTAGAAGATGCTGTGGGTATTCAAAACAATCTCTAACGGCAACAACAGCCCTATCTGTTGCAGTTTCCCATGTTTGGAGTGAAGTTGATCACCGCATACTTATGTTTTGGAATAAGCTTTGTCGTGCTTTCTTAACGTTCATCTGGAAAAATGATTTTCATAATGCGCTTGTGCGACTTTTTATTTACTAGTAGAGAAAGGGTGCACGGCTTCATTCCAGATATTTTAGAAACGAAACAATGAGCAAATTCCATATTGAAACCTCTTTTATGACTGTGTACTAGATACTTATTATCTAGACAGATAGCTATAGCGACATCATGTTAGCATCCATGAGTCGGCGGGATTACATCCATTATGAACTCTTGGGTTAAAATACCCAACTTTTATGTGGAACTTTCTTGAACTAAAAGAGCTGTCTTTTACATATGAGGAAAATGTTGCTAAATGCAAATTATGTGGAAAAAAACAAAGTAGGGACAAATTATTTGACAGTATTGTGAACATACTTGAGCTGACAGATTAAGTGCAGTTCTCATATAAAGAGGACGATCAACAACTCTGTGTTATGTTAGGTAATAGAAACTTACTAGGGATGAATGATGATCACTGGGAGTATTTTATGATCGACATACTTCATGATCTAAGGAGGATTGATATAGAACTATATTTACAGTAGTAGTCGTTATTAAGTGTCAAATATACACGTACGTGTACTGGTGTTCAACTCCTGACTTTGTTGAAATTCGATTGTAATGGATAAATACAGTATGATATGGGCGTATTTATATATTATGTAAATGAAAAACGAAACGTGTGGTGTATAAACAAATGAACGGCACTGTTTTTCTCTTTAATTATTAACATGTCAACATATGTTCTAATATTTTGTATTAATTAATGCAATATTTGTAATCTCTTTACCGAGAGGAAATAAAGAAATGTATCTTTCTATCTAGACATGCATATTTCAATGATAGATAGAAAACCTTTTAAACACGCACACCTAAAATTCAGCAATTTAGCTATAAGTATTGGAAAGTGTGCTGTTAACATCGAATCAAAGGCAAAAATTGGTCATTATTTTTATTATATATTATTTTGTAGATATTCCAGCATAGTACTTTTTAGCATGGACAACACAAAAAAAACATGTCATGTTGAATTTATTAAACTCGTTCAATTAATTCAATATGACACTCATGTAAGATCCTCTATTTATTGTTAATTTGTTCGCAATTATATCCCTGTAATGTTTGAATAAATGCAATAAAGTTGATTGATTGACTGATTGATTGATTGATTGATTGACTGACTGACTGACTGACTGACTGATTGATATCTGTACTGATAACATTCTCTAGAGAGAACCTGATCATCAGTATTTTCTACAATTGGTGTTCAATGTTATCGATTTAAAATTCAATCACAATTGAAAAGTAGTTCATTTTGTCCTAACATGTCGCATTTACCGATTTCAGATTCATGTGTGGGAACATCGAAATTGTACCGATATCTTCGACTTCGTACAAGTTTCCAGACATTTAGTTGGATGAACACGTCGACTTTAAGCTCGCAAAGAAGGAACTTGGCACTTAGGGGAGAATTCTATAGGGATGCAAATTTCCCGATCTACAAAAATTACGAAAAATGTACAAGACGATTTGGTTTATTTGTGTTTTAAGTCCTATTTACAGCTATGGTCATTTAAGGAGGTGCCCGGTTTTGTGGTGGAGGAAGGCCGGAGTTCCCGGAGAAAAACCATCGACCTACGGCCAGTACCTGGCGACTGCCCCACGTAGGATTCGAACCCGCGACCCAGTGGTGGAGGGCTAGTGGTAGCAGAATGGCAGACTCCCTAACCACTTGCCACCGCGGCCCCCGTACCAGACTACATAAAATGCTAAATAAATGTAATTGACGAAAAAGAGATGGTTTTCTGGAATTTGGAATGGTCAAAGGGAATCTACTCCTTAAGAAAATTATATAGAAAGCTTACATCACGTGTTCAATTCCGCAAACACGGCGCATTGTCTAAGCGATATTAAGATTCGTAAGTTTAACTACTGCTCCGCATCAATAAAACTTGCTTCAAAAACTTAGTAACTCCTCTAGCTAGAACCGAGATTTTTAAAAAAAAATGTAATATAAATCAGTGGAGACAAAGAATCCCTTTTAATTTGAATGAACAATTGCTGATGAAATATAGCTCTGATTAATAAAATCATGGTTATTTTGATTTTTTTACGTTTATGATACAAATGTACAACGTTTAGATATTTCGCTTTAGTGTTTTAAGGCAGTTATTTCAAAATGGGGTTAACAAATATGAATTTGTCTCGCATTTTTATTTAAAATACGTGATGACTAACTAACTGGATAGTTTACTTCAAATATTATCTGATTCTTTGTTAAGTATGTTTAATTTGTGAGCGTTTTGTTGACAAGGGACTCATTAAACGGTATATCACTATTAAAATTGATATCATATATCTAATTTTTTAACCAAAAAACACCAATGCCTTCTAATTTGGGACACGAAAGCGACTCCAAATCTCTGCTCCCAAATGAACTCTTACCTAATCTGCCTGTTGCCACACTTCTATGTACTGGAGAAGTCACGCGACTTTGTTAAGTAATAGTCAACTTTCGGTAGAAAACAGCATTAGTATCTTTAGACATGTGCATCATTACATCAAATCCAGCAATAGGTTTTGATGCATGTAGTTATAAATTACTTTTCTATTTTTATTTATAAGTAAGTTGTTATATGTGTTTATGAAATTGCATTTCATTATTTTGCCTGATTTCTGTGTTACAGTTATTCTGTTCATTTTTAAAATTACTCTACCAGAATGCATGTCATGAAATTTATATAATTTATAATTAATTCAAATGCGGTTTGATTTCTCAGTTTACACGTTAACTTTTCTAGGTAACACCCCTCCCCTCCATCACCCCCACCCCCTCCCACCCCACATTTCCTTCCTCAACCTATCTTTTCCCCGTTCCCCAAAAAATATACACTATTTTTACCATATGTATTGAGGAGAGGACTCTATTAAGTTGTAATAACTTGTTGTCCGATCCATTTGTATATTTGTACAATAAAATATGTTTAAACTTTAAGTCACGCGAAACACCCAGTCGGCGAACTCAACAGTTGAAAAGATAGTTTTCTTTATGACGGTGCTGCAGAACTCTAAGAAAGATAACTCCTATTGGTACACTGTTTGGCATATTATGAAGTGCTACTGACGATTCCAGTCGACAATCATCATAATACGTATTACTTTTATCTGGAAGAATGCTCTCATCCTGTACGCGTTTGACAAATATGTACAGTCAGACAGCACCATAGAAACTCTTGTAATATGTAAACTGTTACATTTTACATAAGTATTACATTCGTTATTGTTCTTTGGAATACTTAAACAGGTTTTACATTTTACTATACGGGTTTTTTCTTACATTTGAATTAGCATAATGCAAGGAAATGTTTCGGACAATGACTACAAAACTTTATAAATATGGCAATGAAGAATTTTGATTTTTTTTTTTTTTATCAAATACGAGTGCTTCCCAATCAAAAACCGCATGAAAATACAGAGAGAAAGGCAATTCTAAAGACTTCTAAAGAAACATTTTTGTATATGTTTTCATTAAACCTGCTTCTACCCTATTTATTAAAAAACATTGTCAGAGAAGTTGATTTTTAATCTAGTGAAATTATAGGGCCATCATTTTCATCAGATCTTCAATTACCTCATTTGTAACCGACTATACACATCCGTATTGACCATAAACATAACTTCAATTTCATTGCCAGATATAGCGACGATGTGCTGTCTTTAACATGGTTTACTGACCACGTCAGTCGTATATACCCTCCTGAGCATGAAATCAAGAACATAACAGGCTCTTCTTCCTCATCCGCTTTCCTCGATCTAACTTACAACATGGCCAACAGGTGCGCATTATACTATTAAACTGTATAAGCGGCATAATTTCGATTTTCCAATCGTTTACTTTCTCTTTCTTGATGGCAACATCCCTGGATTCCCTTTGGTGTCGACGTGTTGCAGTGTGATTCTGTGATTCAAACGCTAACACCGAATATTATATTTTCCGTGAAATATGTCGACTGCTGATGGCCAAACTTGCAACTACAGCCTGATGAAGAAAACCGGTTGATGAAGAAAAGCAGTGATTTTATGGTAGCCATCGTGAACTGACTGGGAAATATGATATGTGATACACCATTCCTTGTCAGTAAAATCACGTTTTGCCTCATTTTAAAGCAATAAGAAAACACTAAACAACGATATATATGCAGCATTTATTTGGTATGATATAGAATATATTTAACATGAAAAATACATATAACTCCTTTTCTATATTTAATAACGTTACAGATATAATGGTTTATATGTAAGCTTAGCACTTAAACAGTATGTGTGTTTTAACTCAAGTATACGGCTGGCAACAAACTTCAGATATGCCCTCATTACAATTCATGCTAACATCTCATATCATGTAAATATGGAAAATGTTGTATGAAATTTTGTCAATGACCAAACTCAATTTTGCAAATCGATTTTAATCCAAATGGTCAACTCGATTTAGTTTTTCTCTGCATGTTCTTTATAAGAAGTAAAGCGACAGTTGACAAAAAATGTAATAAAGAAACACATGGTATTGCATAGGTATTGCCATAACTTCAGGTAAAATAAAATAGAAACTTGCACGTCATCATTTCAGAAAGCTACTCGGGTCAAGATAATCTTTTTTAAAACGATCAGCCGGATATTCTTATTGTGATGAAGGAATCTCATAAGTCACAGGGCAATGACTACATATCACCTCCTGCTGAATCTCAATATAGACACACACTACAAACACTGTATATCAACAAAGCCTGATGCAGTCTCCCACACAAATATAAGTGTGATTTTAAGATGAACAAGATATGCATGTAAGGATTTGATTTTGATTTTTTTACAATAAACACATACCATAAGAGCGCTATTTTTACAGTAATCCAGAAATGTCCTATCTATGGAGGTCAAAGTTCTAGATAATTGAGAGTAAAGTGGTAATTATTGTAAATCATATTTTTGTAAATGTTCTATCTATTTAACAGAATTAATAACAGCAGATCAGATGTTTCTTCCTTGTTTAAATGTGTTTAGATTGACCGAGACATTTGACTAAACCAGACATTATAATAAATTGAACTTGACCTAATGTAAGCCTGTTTCTCATATGCCTCTGACTTTACAATGAAGGTAGAAATAGATTGGAATAGTTCATTTTCAAATTTTAGGGACGAATGAGTGAATTATCTCATTCACCCCTACAATTTCATAATGAACTTTTCCAACCATTGAATTGGAAGAGTTCAAATGTGTTTTCAGGGGTGAATGAGTTAACAGTCTGAGCACCTCTAAAGCTTGGGGCTGTCAATTGGAATGATGTAAATATATAAATAGGTATAACAACACATATTCCTCTGAATGCAACAAACTATCATGCTATATAGACTTAACAGGTACCATTAACAGTACAGTGCTGATAACTATCTACATGAATTTATATATATATAATATCTTCCTTGTCTGCAAGACACCTATCACATTATATAAGTTATATGTATGGATGAAGTACATTTTTCTTTAAATTTGTTGTCACTCGAGTATAAACAGATTTTGTCAATTAGTCAATTCATTTTCACAATATTTTTCTTCTTAAAAAACTTTATACAAAGCATTGTTACCACATAGGTACAGTTTCTCAAAAACACCATCACATACATGTATGTAAAAGTAGACTCCAAATAATTGTCAATAAAAGTGACAGGAAAATAGTTTATCAATGAAATTTGGTCGAGAAAATATTTTTTAAAGCTGGTAAAAAGGATAATGCTTCAATGTTATATATTCACAAACCAGTGAACTCCATGATTTTACAAACACCTGATTAAACTGACACCTCATATCATCACAGATTTACTGAAACCTGTCTTTACCGATACCTGTCCTTACTGAAACCGGAGTTTAGCTTCATTCTGTAATATTACATCTGATTTTGTCATCCCAAAAGACCTTGGCCCAGTGGTTCAACGCTAATCACCTTAAAAAAATTCACAACAATTTTTTAACTTTTAAACCAGTATATCTTTAAAAATATTGAAATTCAAAACTGAATTTATATAAATAAGGACTGATCAGGAGTATCCTATTTTGTATTTTGACATCAAACTCAAACATATTTGTAGAGTTTGACTGCGCTCAAAAATAACTTTCTGAAAACTCGTGTTAATCACTGGTAAAGCTCTGAATGACCAGGACCTGGCTAAACTGACACACTGTCAATCAAATGACCTTAGTTCCTACTCGGGTCACTGACAACAGGGGTTATTAATGACAGGGGTCACTTCAGTCTGATACATCTGTGTGAACATATCAGATTATAAATTCAAGTAATATCAGTTTGCTTCAATCAGTACAACACATATCAATATTGTAGATCTGTCTACTTTATCAGAAGACTGGAGATCCTTGTCAGATAATCTAACTATCAGAAATTACACAACTGGATGGTCTGCTATCTTATCCATAATTACAAAATGAAGGAACAGGTTTAGTGTACATATTTATAATACAATCCTACACAAATAAGACACTCCTTGTCATGGATATGGAAATATATCCCAGAAAGAAAATTATTGATTTTTATCTCACCTGTCACAGGTAGAACACTAAATATTTTACCTCACCTGTCAAAGGTAGAAAATTGATCACATCTGTCAAGGGGTAGAACACAAACCACACCTGTCACAGGTAGAAAATTGACCATACCTGGCACATGTTGAACATTAAATATTTTACCTCACCTGTCACAGGTAGAACATTGGCCACACCTGTCACAGGTTAAACATTAACCACACCTGTCACAGGAAGAACATTAACCACACCTGTCACAGGTAGAACATTGGCCACACCTGTCACAGGTAGAACATTGGCCACACCTGTCACAGGAAGAAAACAAACCATACCTGTAACAGGTAGAAAATTGGCCACACCTGTCACAGGTAGAACATTGACCACACCTATCACAGGTAGAACACAAACCACACCTGCCACAGGAAGAACACAAACCACACCTGTAACAGGTAGAAAATTGGCCACACATGTCACAGGTAGAACATTAACCACACCTGTCACAGGTAAAACATTGACCTACACCTGTCACAGGTAGAACATTAACCACACCTGTCACAGGTAAAACATTGACCTACACCTGTCACAGGTAGAACATTAACCACACCTGTCACAGGTAAAACATTGACTACACCTGTCACAGGTAGAACACAAACCACACCTGTAACAGGTAGAAAAATTGGCCACACATGTCACAGGTAGAACATAAACCACACCTGTCACAGGTAAAACATTGGCCACACCTGTAACAGGTAGAACATTGGCCACACCTGTCACAGGAAGAACATTTACCACACCTGTCACAAGTAGAACATTGACCACACCTGTCACAGGTAGAACATTGACCACACCTGTCACAGGTAGAACATTGACCACACCTGTAACAGGTAGAACACTAAAACTTTAACCACAATTTCACTGTCAGGTTTCACTGAGCACCAAACACAATAAACAAACACAGAAAAAGGAAACATACGTGTAAAACTATAACATAATAAGCTTCAACAGCTGTATATATAAACAGAACACATTCATTAATTTGTTTTTGAATATCCTTATAATATAATACAGTGTACGTTTAACATAATCCTATCTACTGTTGTAAAACTTCTACTAGATAGCTTAGTAAGGGTACTACTGTAATTGAGGACTATTCTAAAGAGAGACTTCACAAATTTATGAGACTTCACAAATTCATGATTCTATATAACAACACACAAACAGGAATATATCCAAATAAAATTCAATGTTTATATGGGCTAAAGATAATTGGGATCAGTCTTCTAAACTATTGTGTATATATATTCTGAAGAATCTCCTTGACGAGATGAAAGTACTTAAGACTGGTTGTGGGGATTTTTTTCTTTTTATACTTTATCTACATTATCTTGGGAGAGTTGAAACATAATGGTCAAAATATCAATTCAAGCCAAAACATGTTATTTCTATAGTAATACAGGTTCAAAATGATGTTGTTTTATACAAGTATTGTTGATGCATCCTCATAAGAGTTAATGTCCTTTTAAACTCTTATGAATTAGCAAACATAAATGTACAATAGATTCATTGTGGTGGATGTGAACGGTGTGATGGCCGCTACTGTACCGACAGCTAATGTAGAGAAGTAACATACATCTTAATATCATTGATAATATAAGAAAAACTCACAAAGCTTATTGTAATGTTATGTAATTCTACTTAATCTGTATTTACTGAGCCAATCTTGTTGAACTTTACAAAATATCATTTCGTTGTACAAAGGACATGTAATTTATATACATTGAAATAAAAATACTTATTTAAAACAATCCAAATTCTGCCACATAATAAATAAAGGGAGATAACTCTGTTAAAAGTAAAGTGAGTCCTGATTATAGTACATTGTATGTGACACTCTGTCATTCGAGGAGGTACCCGGTTCTCAAATGCAATATTTACCAATTGTAGCTGAGAGAGTGTATGAGATGAGGCCCACAAAAGGCATAAAACCTAATATGAGTCCTCTTTTCTGCCATCCCAAGAGGTCCTTCCATACAAAAAAACATAGCAATTTACAGTTCAAACGGAGGCCTCAACAAGTACTATTCGGGACAAAAATCAAGAGTAAATTTTGTCCATGTGTACAAAAGCTTACCTTAATTTGCAGTTGATGGATTTACGTGGCTTAAAACTCACAGCTTCATGTCAGAAAAAAAGTCTGGAAGCACCTTTTGGCTTCGATATATTTGCAACAGGCAAAAAGATTTGACCCCATAAATTAAAATTATATACATTACACTTAATTTACACACAACAAACACAATTACCAAACAATAACATTTCAAACAAGCATATGTTTTACAAACATCAATCCAACTTTGCTTTTAAAATTTCCTTTCAATATATCAGATATAATTTTGTACATTACCCAATTTAATCTTAGGTCGGAGATTTAATATGCTGTACACTTGCCAGATACAACACTCATACTCAGTACTCATTTAACATTTTACCTGAGCATATTGACCGGATTACACTTTCCATTTCTCTATTGTTTTCTATATTGTTTTGTTGTATTCCATTATTCTAAATAAGCTTATACATATTTCACCCATTCAATGACACAAGAATATTGCAGGTTTCAAAAGTTGTTTTACCATTTGATGTGCAAATTTTGAGAATACCAGTTTGTAAAAAATGGCTAATAGTACAGACTCTAAATTATTTAAGTACAATGGCTTATTAAAAAGTTTATAAACTTTTTTAATGGATAATATACTGATAAAGGAATGAATACATTTTACATATGTAGATTTTTTCACATATTTTTTCACATATGTTAACACTAACCTCTCTATTCATACTGGTTTATTGAATTGGTTATCCTTGATATATAATTGTACCTGCCACTATGTTTTTACATCCTGTATTGTCTATATATAGTTATAAATATTACAAGCATGAGTTATTATTCACTTCTATCATTGAAATATAGTGCTATTGTAAACTGCATGATATTTTATATATAAAATAGGCATTGCTCAGCTTATGTCAAAAGCAACATGGCACATTTCACCAAACACCAAGTGAGATAAGGCACATTTCGCCAAACACCAAGGGAGATAAGGCACATTTCGCCAAACACCAAGGAAGATAACACATTTCACCTTACACCAAGGGAGATAACACATTTCACATTACTCCAAGGAAGATAGGGCACATTTCACCTAACACCAAGGAAGATAACACATTTCACCTCACACCAAGGGAGATAACACATTTCACATTCCTCCAAGGAAGATAAGGCACATTTCACCTAACACCAAGGAAGATAAGGCACATTTCACCTAACACCAAGGGAGAGAAGGCACATTTCACCTAACACCAAGGGAGATAAGGCACATTTCACCTAACACCAAGGGAGATAACACATTTCAACTCACACCAAGGGAGATAAGGCACATTTCAACTAATGTCAACGAGATTATGAACATTTCAGCTTCAGCTTACACAAACGGAAGATAGAAGAAAATTTGTTTCAACATTTGTATTGCAAATAAACATGTAAATAAACATGTAAATAAACATGCAAGGCATATATTTTGGTCCTTACATTCTGTTACTTAATCTTAAAGAAAAAAACATATGCAATACAATTTACATAATTATAGAACTATTTCACAAACACAATACAAAAAAAAATGGAATAATGAAATCTGCTATTTTAGGTAATACAACAGGATATGGTATAAACTCGTGGATTTGAAAGACTTGTGATATAAAAGGACTGTTCGCAGTTATTTAACTTTTTTAAATATTTTCTTCCATCGTGACGGTTCCTCTCTCTTTCCCATTGGCTTCTGGCCTATCCTCTCATGGAATCCTGAAAAAGCGATGTTTAAAAACTTGATTTTATCTTCTTTTCAATTTTTTTCCATATATTGAGTATATTATATACATATAAAAAGTAGAAGATTTAACAAAGGAACAACAACCATAAAAAGCATAATTTAAACACCTAGCAGAGTCAAGTGTTAATAATAAGATGACATATGTCAATGTCTGCCCAGAATCTTTTATTTTCCTAGAGCCTGAGTCTGGTTACTTTTATTCTTACTAGAATCACTTGTCTAACCAAAACAACAAGACAGATATCCACATATATACATTATTTATTTTATAACAATCACTTGTCTTACCAAAACAGCAACAAGATAGACGTACACATATATATAAACATTATTTATTTGATAACAATCATTAAACTGTGCTATGCCCCATTTGTAGCACACAGAAGGTCTTGATGGGGAAGGAAACCACAGAACCCAGAGAAAACCCATACGATTGGGCAGGTGGCCCCGATACCATTTCATGTCCAATCAGAGAATCTAACCTGTATTGGTGATAGGTGAGCTCGCTATGCACTGCGCCACCCAACCATTGTACCAGGTAAATATTTAGAAACTAACATCATGTTGCATACATGTATACTTAAAGCTTAGAAATCCATCTTGGTTCAAAAATGATGTCAGTAGTTACTGATACAAACACTAGTACAAATCAAATTTAGTTGTCAGGGTCTTACAATCACAGGTGGTATATGATAGTGTTAGATGATAATGTTTCTATTCCTATTGTACTTATTTTATGGGATTTCGGGTGTTTCCTCAGCTGGGAAATTCCCCAACATGACCTCACTGTTATTACTCACCTTTGATATTACTAGTATCAGTGTACTGGTGATCTGTAAGATAAAGAGGTACAGCTTCAACTCTACGCACACTCTATATATTAGTAATATTACTACAATTCTACATGGTATGAAAAATATATAGGAGAAATAGCTATTTAAGCTGAACTCATTCACCCCTGAAATTTCATGATGAGCTATTCCAACCTTTGAATTGGAAGGGTTACAATGTGTCTTCAGGGGTGAATGAGTTAATCCTATCTTCTTGCATAAATCAGAAGTATTTAAACAGACAAACACCGGGCTACTAAAGCGTTAAGAAAACTGTTAATTTTATTCGAATTCAAAATCCTACGAAACCATGGCAAAATCTAAAGATTTAAAGGGATACCTTTAAAACAATACCTGGCGATTAAGACCAGGTGTTTGGTATAAGTGTCTTCTGCTTCAACACCTGCCATGTTCAATAAGATTCATAGTTTGGAAATATGTAATATCAAAGTTTTACTTTATACAAGCAATGTACTTAAAACACTTAGGTACTTTGCTTATAATGTAATACTTATGTTAATCCTGGTAAAATCCTAGTAATGTCATGTTCTCAATAAGAGAAGCAAGGTAAAATGATAACAAATTCACAAGGCACATTAACTCATTCACCCCTGAAAAATCATAATGAACTATTCCAACCTTTGATTTGGAGGAGTTCAAATGTGTCTTCAGGGGTAAATGAGTTAATGAGAAAACTTAAAAATGTTGATATTCATGTACATGTAGTACAAGGAAATAGAAAAAATACAAAGTTACAACAAGAGGCCCAATGGGCCTGCATTGCTCACCTGGTATAAATCACACACTTGTAACCTTAAGAGTGATCTAAAGTAAAGCTACAGGCAAAATATAAGTATTCATGATTAAATTCATTCAAAAGAACCTGTTATTTTGTTAAAAACATTTCACCCCTGTGATTGAAAGTCGAACAAAGTCATTATGTTGAACAAATTTTATAGCCTTTCATCTCAGGATGCAACTTGCAAAGTATCAACATCCTGGGACCCATGGTTATTCAGAAGAGGTCGTTTAAAGATTTTAAACGAATTTGACTCCTGTGACCTTGAATATGAGTCAAAGTCATTAACTTTAACAAACATAGTAGTCCTTGATCCCAGCATGCTAGTGACTAAATATCAACATCCTGGGCCTTTTGGTTATTCAGAACAAGTTGTTTAAATATTTTTAACATATTTGCTCCTTGTGACCTTGAATATGATTCAAGGTCATCCATTTAACCAAACTTGGTAGCCCTTGATCCTAGTATGCTAATGACTAAATATCATCACCCTGGGCATTTTGGTTATTCAGAAGAAGTTGTTTACAGTTTTTAACATATTTGACCCCTGTGACCTTGAATATGGGTGAAGGTCATTCATTTGAACAAACTTTGTAGCCCTTCATCTCAGCATGCTACTGGCCAAATATCATCACCCTGGGCATTCTGGTTATTCAGAAGAAGTTGTTTAAAGTTTTTAACATATTTGACCTCTGTGACCTTGAAAATAATTGAAGGTCATTCATTTGAACAAACTTGGTAGCCCTTCATCCAAGCATGCTACTGGCCAAATATCATCTCCCTGGGCAGTTTGGTTATTGAGAAGAAGATGTTTAAATTTTTTAACACATTTGACCCCAGTGACCTTGAAAACGGGTGAAGGTAATTAATTTTAACAAACTTTGTAGCCCTTCATACCAGTTTGCTTCTGGCCAAATATCATTACACTAGGCCTTTCAGTTATTAAGAAGAAGTCGTTTAAAGTAAAATATTGACGCCGAACGATGGACGGACAGACGGACGGAGGACGCCGCACCACGGCATAAGTTCACTTGGCACTTCGTGCCAGGTGAGCTAAAAACAGATGATTATAAACCATGTTTTATTTTATTTTAAGAATTAAGACACTTCAATCAACATGTTCTTCAATAAAAGAAAATCTTACCTGTAGTGCCACCCTTTATCTGCAAAGACAAATATATTGACATTTAATAACTATATTTAATATTTATCTTAATACAACATACCATAACACTGTCACAAATTATGATGTACATTAAACCATGACACAATGTCTGTTGTACATTTAAGAGTTGCTAAGATACCCAGGACAAGTATAATGTATAATATGGATTGTAACTCAATTTTATATACAGTTCACTAATTATTTTTATTTTCGTTTCAAATTGATAGCAAACAAAATGAAAACAAGAAACCGCCAATGGCAATATGACTGGATTGCTACAGTACATTTTCATGTAAAACAGCACATGTGATAAGCATCCTTTAAGATACTTAGCCATGCAAGTGTAGTTGATGTACAACAAGTAGTTACTTGGTAAGTGACCTAAACCAATCTTCTAAACCATGGTGCAGATGGGGCCTAACTTTCTGTGCCATGTTACTCAAATTTTTCAAATCCTTTAAAAATTAGTGTTTTGTGCAATGTTTGGCTACGGAAGCTGACTGCATTAAGCTCTGGCTCTGACAGTGAAGGTTAGAGAGGAGTGCCAGTCGGGGTCAATGAGGGTCTGACCAGATCAATACTTAACCCTTTCACCCCTATGCAACTTTAGTAGATTCTACCATGCATTGATAAGGATGAGTCCATTATGGTCTACAGTGGTGAAAGGGTTAATATTAAAGAGACAAACAAAATCTGTATGCCAAACAGTGAGATACATTATATTTTTCACTAAATATGTTAAATTTCACTGGTGTAGTTGGCTAATTTAAAATATCAGTGTGGGGCACAATGACCACTATAGCCAGAGACAAAATGCAATTCTGTAAGGATTAAAATGCATATATATATGCATTTTTGATGTTAACGTGCAAAAATATTTCATGATGTTCAGTAGCACATCTCTGAAAAAATATGTGTGTAAGTAAATGGTGTACCGCTATAAATGTTAAGTTTATGTATTTCAGTTCTTATATTTAGAAAATGTATTTTATCTTTCTTCCTTTTGGTTCATGACACATTTTGAAACAACTGATGGACAGCTGTTTCTGTGGTCTGTTTTTTTTTAGCTTGCCATTTCTGCCATCTAGGTAACAAATGACAACCATTCAGGAATGTCCATCATATTGTGCATTTTAGACATCACAAAATGATATTGGTCTCCAATATTATATTATGCTCTGACAATAAATGAAAAGGCTGATACAGTTTGCAATGTGAAAGTATTATTCATGCGTAATAGCTCTTTTTGTAACAATTTGATGACAATATTTTTATTATAGCTAGGTATAGGGCTACTTAAAGGCTGCGTACAACGCCAATGTAAATATCAAATAATGCAGATATTGTTTTCATACGAAGAATACAAAGACATAAAAGATGCCAAAGTAAAAGACATAGATATTTATACATGGTACAACTGTTACAGTTAAAAACGCAAGGCAAAGTATTGCAAGGCAAGGAAATCCATAGTCCCCCACCAGTAATGATTTATTTATTTACTGAGCAGTATATACCTATCTCAGGGTATAGTGACATACTCTTGTAGTATGTACTCCGCCAGCCGATACATACTTGCACACAAATCCTGGTTACTCCAGGTGAAACAGTATAGACGATACGCCAAAGACAAAAAATTTCAAAGGTTGAGATCAATGGTCAAATCATAGGTCACAGTGACTTTCTTCTTGTACACGACACTCTGTCATCCGAAAATGTACTTTTATACTTAATCTGGTTACTCCAGGTGAAACAGCATTGAAGATTTGCCCTGGACATTTGTATGGAAGGAAGGAGGGACGTACAGACGGACAGACAGATGGAGTGCAAACCTGTTATTCTGCCCACTTCCATCCCCGGAACCGGTGGGGGACTAACAAGCTTGCGTCTACATCACAGAAGTCAGACAGCATAAATAATATCAACGATTCACTAGATTTTGTTTTGTTGATAATTATAATAATCAACTAGAAATTGTTGGCTAACAATTTGACGGGCTTTTCACTGTAAGGACTGATTTGGCCTTCTAATAATAACCTGTGCAAGTCTACAGTAGCTGGCTGATTAGTGGGGGATTCCCGGAGTGCGAAATGACGTCGGAGAAAGAATGGATAAATATAGGCAGCCAATGGGCTAGGTAGTCCGTAAAATATAGTCGGTCCACTTTGTACGTCAGGATGATGAATTGAAATAGGTTTTTGTCTATATCGGTTGTGTTTGCCATGCCAAAGAAAGGCTGATGTTTACCCACCGCAGTAGAGATGTAAACTGTCCCTACTTTTAAGATTGAGAGTGCGTAGTAATCGATGTAGTATTACCAGCGTGTATTAGATGTCTTGATAGAAATCAAAGTACTGAGAGTACTGAAAGCACTTCACAATCGCACAAAAATGAAAACGGTTTTTGACTTTCACCTTTGAAATTATATTTGGAGTAGGTCAAGGTCATTCATTAGCACACACTTTAAAGCCCTTCATTCAAGCATGCTTCTTTGTCAAACATCGTTACCCTGGAGCTATTGGTTATTCAGAAAAAGTGGTTTCAATATTTTTACACATATTAACCTCTGTGACCTTGAAAGTCATTCAATGTCAATAATTTTTTCAAACTTGATAGCCAATCATCTGACCATGTTAATGTATCAAATAGTAGGACTTTAGGCCTTGTAGAACTTAAGAAGTTTTTTGAAGTCATTATCTTGAAATAGCACATATGAAGTTTGTGACCTTGATTGTGACCTTGATAATTGATCAGTGTCAACCATTTTTTCAAACCTGATACCCCGACATCTCAGAAACTTTATTATTAAATATCAAGACTCTAGACTATGTGGAACTTAAGAAGAAGATTTTTTAAGGTTGGTACCCAATATAGTGCATTTTAACTTTGACCCCTGCTGAAAACCAGAAGTTGACATTTTTTGTTAAAACAGTATGAAAGAAAAAGTTTGCCCTTGGCTATCTCTATATGATATCTAAAGCTCAACCTCGTGTTTGATATCGTTAACGAAATATATTGGTATAGGCTGATAACCAATCAGAGTTTGTGGTGGCCATCTTGGAATATCAATTGCTCCAAGAAGTAACATAAGTTCATAAGGGCCCCTAGAGAAACACATTTACTAATTGAGGTTAATATTGCAATGACAGAATTGGAAAAGAAGATCGTTGAAGTTTTCACATATTGTCAGCATTTTAAAAGATCAAAGGAAATATTCAAAATGGCGTACAACGTTAGCGGTAAATGTTATAGAAAAACTAAAAACATCAAATTCATCGGAATGACATTATTCATCGATCTATTGAAGAATTCTTTAAAAACAATGAAAAATGAATATTTTTTAAAAAATTGTGACCTCTGACCCAACAGCGAACTTTTTCATTTGACCTTTAATGTAATAACATACATGGAAAAAAGTTAGCCGTAAACTTTATCTACATATGATGTCAGAGCTTAAAGGCTGTAAATTCAACCGTGTTTGAGTTATAGCCATTTTAAGATTTTGAGGTATGACGTCATGGCGGCCATTTTAATTTTTCAATGAAGTTGATTTTTTTTTTAAATGCTAGAGGACATCTGGGGAAACCTTTCTCATAACAAATAAACCAAATATTTGTCATTGATATTGGAGTAAAACAAGTTTTAAAATATTGCGATATTTTTAAAAGATCAAAAGAAATTATTCAAAATGTCGTACAACGTTAACGGTAAATGTTACAGAAAAACTAAATACATCAAATTCATCGGAATGACATTCTTCATTGATGTGTAGAAATATTCTTCAAAAAAAATGAAAATTAATTATTTTTTTCAAAAATTGTGACCTTTGACCTAACAGCGAGCTTTTGTATTTGACCTTTAAATGAAATAACATACTGCAATAAAAGTTAGCCCCGAAGATTATCTAAATATAATATAATTGCGTCAATTCTGTAAATTAAACCGTTTTTGAGTAATGGCCATTTTTAAGATTTTGACCTATGACGTCATGGTGGCCATATTTAATTTTTGACCTAATTGAAAATGTTCCTGGAACATCTTCAGACCTTTGCCTACAACAAACCTTAAAGACTATAAACATGTCTTCTACCAATCAAAAGATACAGACTCCACAAATTGGGGAAGAAGAAGAAGAAGAAGAAGAAGAAGAAGAAGAAGAAGAAGAAGAAGAAGAAGAAGAAGAAGACATTGATCACCATTTCTTCATTCTTGAATCAAGGGTTTAATGTTAATTGGCTATATATTAGTATGTGTTCATTGTTATTTGGTGAAGTATGCTTGCGTGAGAATTTAAAGACAGAGTACATTAAAGGCCTTATTTTTCGTGAGGAAGAAGTTATAAAATAGCTTGACCTTCAACACAACAAGAAGGGTCACCCATTTCAATCCTCTATATGACCTCTATATGACCTCTACATGACCTCTATATGACCTCTACATAACCTCTACATGACCTCTATATGACCTCTACATGACCTCTAAATGACATCTACTGGTTATATGCAACAAGGATACAAACCATTCTACAGTAAGCTGCAGTAAGCAGAATCCAGATTCCTTTATAATTAGAACCTACAGCAGTACATGGACAGTACTGACAACACTTATGGGTATGAAATGTCTATCATCAGTGCACCAAGAAGTAGAGGTTATGTTATAGTGTCATTGAATATCATCTATACCTCACCAGAGTGACAGACTACCTATACCAGCAGTGATGAGGACAAGAGGAAAATACTGAAACGATGCATCACTTACTGTAATATACAGTGAAATCAGATATTTTTGTGTGGCCCAAATTTCATTCTTTCCCAACTAAACACCATTTTGTGGGTACATGAATTTGTTGATTACAAGTACCCACTCAAACTGAGAATAGCTTTATATCAAACTATTTTACCTGGTCATTGCCATCAGAATTTCAAGTCCACCAAATTAACCTCAACATCTAGGTAATTTAATTTGACTTTCATGAAAATGCGAGAGAAATGTCTTTATTGT